AAGTGATCCACCCGCCTCGGCCTCCCAAAGTGCTGAGGGTACAGGCATGAGCCACTGCACCTGGCCATACTTGCTTATTTTATGTTGCTAAAAAGGCTTATCCCCTTAGCTCTAGGTACAGTCAAGAACATTTTCAGTGATCTCTTTTCTCTTGTTAGTCGGACTTCTCTAGCGACCTTTCATGAAGGAAAACATAACATTTCCCACATGTCCATGGACGTTGCCAGGGGACTGATGGTGACCTGTGGGACCGACCGCATTGTAAAGGTAAGCTGGCTAATTGTCTGTCAGCATCTCAGTTGAGATTGCCCATTATCATGCTGTGAATATCCAGGAGACAGTCACTCTTTCTGATTGGCAAGCTTTATAAGCAACTGATTGCCAGTTTAAAACCTTGAGTGATAAATTGCTTGCCTGCGAGTCTCCATGCACTCAGTGGTGGTCAATCCCAGTGGCACCTCCCTCTGCAGTGTCTGTCTGGTGGAGTGAGTCTGACATCCTGTATATCCCCATGGGTGGAGCTCACCTCAGGGTTCTCCCTTGCTGACCTGGGCCCTCACCCCTGACCCATCTCAAGACATTCCTACCCTTGCCAATGTTCCTTTTCATCCTGAGCAGAATGCGTCCTCATTATAAGGAATAACCACACGTTTTAAAAATTAAATCCCTGGGTCACTAACACATAAATTGAAATGAAGTGTTTTATACTTAATACCACTCTTTTTTTTTTTGAGATGGGTCTTGCTCTGTTGTCCAGGCTGGAGTGCAGTGGCACAATCACTACTCACTGCAGCCTTCACCTTCCAGGCTCACGCAGTCCTCCCACCTCAGCCTCCCAAAGTAGCTACAACTACAGCTGCCTGCCACAGGCTTAGCTAATGTTGGGGGGATTTTTTGTGGAGATTGGGTCCTACTGTGTTGCCCAGGCTGGTCTCAAACTCCTCGGCTCGAGCGATCCTGCCACCTCAGACTCCCAAAGTACTGGGATTGCAGGCATGATCCACCATGCCTGGCCTAAGTACCATTCTTCAGTGGTGAAACTGAGATATTTTATATTCCTGATGGGCTTTTCTAAACAAAAATTTGAATTTATACTAAAACATTATTATGATGTAATTTTTATGTGTAAAGACACTACCTATATGCTTTACTCACATTTTAGTGGACTACATTGTTTTATCTTTCTAAAAATCTTTTTGTTTGAGACACGGTCTCGCTCTGTCACCCAGGCTGTAGTGTAGGGGTGTGATCTCAGTTCAGTGCAACCTCTGCCTTCTGGGCTCAGGTGATCCTCCCACCTCAGCCTCCTGAGTGGCTGGGACCACAGGCATGTGCCACCACACCAGGCTAATTTCTGTATTTTTTTTTTTGCTAGAGACAGGGTTTTGCCATGTTGGCCAGGCTGGTCTCGAACTCCTGGGCTCAAGCACTACACCCGCCTCGGTCTCCGAAAACGCTGGGATTACAGGCATGAGCCACCGTGCCCAGCCACCTGGCCTCTTTCTATAAATCTTTTTTTTTTTTTTTATACTTTAAATTCTAGGGTACATGTGCACAACATGCAGGTTTGTTGCATATGTATACATGTGCCATGTTGGTGTGCTGCACCCATCAACTCGTCAGCACCCATCAACTCGTCATTTACATCAGTTATAACTCCCAATGCCTTCCCTTCCCCCTCCCCCCTCCCCATAATAGGCCCCGGTGTGTGATGTTCCCCTTCCCATGTTCAAGTGATCTTATTGTTCAGTTCCCACCTATGAGTGAGAACATGCGGTGTTTGGTTTTCTGTTCTTGCGAAAGTTTGCTGAGAATGATGGTTTCCAGCTGCACCCATGTCCCTACAAAGGACACAAACTCATCCTTTTTTATGGCTGCGTAGTATTCCATGGTGTATATGTGCCACATTTTCTTAATCCAGTCTGTCACTGATGGACATTTGGGTTGATTCCAAGTCTTTGCTATTGTGAATAGTGCCGCAATAAACATACGTGTGCATGTGTCTTTATAGCAGCATGATTTATAATCCTTTGGGTATATACCCAGTAATGGGATGGCTGGGTCAAATGGTATTTCTAGTTCTAGATACTTGAGGAATCACCATACTGTTTTCCACAGTGGTTGAACTAGTTTACAGTCCCACCAACAGTGTAAAAGTGTTCCTATTTCTTCACATCCTCTCCTCTTTCTATAAATCTTAAGGAGGTGTTATGAAAGAAGAGAATGAGAAAATTCGTTATTTTGACACCTTTTCGGGTTTAACAGTCGTTTGTTTCTCTGTGTTGACTCTTGCCATTAGACCTGGTTATCACTGCTGCCTTTTCCGTGTTGCTTCCTTGTAGATCTGGGACATGACGCCTGTGGTGGGCTGCAGTCTGGCAACTGGGTTTTCTCCACACTGATGTGAGAGCTGGGCGACATCCACAGCTAAGAACAGCAGCTCCACCAAATGAAGTCCTTCCCGCGCAGCTCCACAGTGCTGTCTCGTGAATGGACAGTAGCACTTACAAACAAATCAACATTTTTAGAAAGCAAATGTAAAGGTGTGTTTTGGGGCATTTGTGGAACTTACCTATGGGGACTAATATGTGAAAGGTCTATCCGTAGTGGTTCCCTGAAGACTGGAATTACTTCAGTGAAACTTCCCCATGAACAGCGAGCTAATATGTAGTGAAAAAATGAGCTAGCAAATGAGTTTTAGCGGGGACAAAAAGTCAAAAAAGTGAACGCTTAGAACTTTCTCAAAGCAAGTCACAAGTACAGACACTTCACTTAGCCTAGGGGGCCTTCCAGGGCTCTTGTGGCTGTTGTCAAAACAGGAGCTGGGGGAAGGAAGACTTGTTCTCTCTTTCTTGAGGGGTGGCATTAGGAACTTACGAAACCAGAGACCTTTCCCTATGAACTAGCGGTATGTGAATATCCTCTACACTTAGTTACTGATAAACTTCTTAAAGAGATCTGTTATTTTCAGGTAGTGCCGTAATCCACGCTTCGCATTGGCTTTTTTCAATAGTTTCTCTTCCCAGCCAGTGTGCCACAGGTGAACTTTTGAGGTTGTCATTAAGTAAGTTGTGAAATTTCTCTAATTACCAAGGCAGTCCACATTCTTCCCTTTCCACCAAATTCCGAGGACAAAACTTTTTTATGGTGCTGTTAACATGGGAGTCACACAAGCCGCCTGACTTTTCCTCATTGCCGTTAGTAATAAGTGATGGGAAACCCAGCCACCATTGTGATGCGAAATGATCCGTCTGTTGCCTGGAACACCCCGGTCCTCTTAAATGAAACAGCATTCTACTTGTTGTTCCAAGATGAGCCCCTGCAATATTCTGGCAGTTTAATATGCCCCCCACAAAAGCACTCTACAGCTTTTACACCATTTTGACTTTGAGTTATAACTAGTATTATTCATGTTTTCATTAAAAGAAGTCAGTGACCCAGAGCTGTCACAATAATTCCCAACTCATAAATTGCTTTCCTAAGAACTAGCAAAAGCTGTTGTTCATAAAGGCATTTCTAAAGCTTTTGGGCACTGTGTACCAGGATGAGGAAGAGAAGAAATGAAGACCTGTCTTTTAATATTCCAGTATGTGTGTGTGTGATTTTTTCTGACAACAGTACATCATATATCTATTTCTCTAGGGATATGGAAGTAAGTGGAGAAGGGCCTACCTTTTTAAAGGACAAATATAAAAATAGATAGCAACAGTACCTTTGCTAATCTTACTAATGGATATTGATTTAAAAAAACAAAAAAAAAACCTCAGTACTGCATCACTGTGTTGGGATCATACCAAGACAATAGGGTCATTCCATATGATAAAACTAAAGGACTAAATCTGTTTTATAATGACGTCTTAGAGGGACTGAAAAGTTTAAGGAGACAATTAAACTAAGATGTCTTAATGGCTGTGTGACACACGTAGGGAAAGGAAAGGGGCTCAGGCGCATCATGTACTGGAATGATCTGCATTCAATGTTGACTTATCTTCAGAAATAAGACTGAAGAGTTTTGTTGTTCCTTAGTTTACGTGTTACATCACCTAAAGAGATTTCTTTTAAAAGCTTTCTAGACTATTTGCAAAATGTGTATTACTAACATAGTTTGGAAGAAAAATTGAGTAGTGGTAAGTTTTGTTGAAACACAATGTTGAATGTTCAGCTTCCTGTATTAATTTTAGTTCAGTTAATGGTTCAGCCCATACAAAGGTGCTATCCTAGGGATTTTATGAAGTCCTGAAAGGAGAATAGAATATGATCAATTCCTTGCCCTGTGGAAGAGTGCAGAACTGTGGTTTTGTTTTCCTTTGACTTCCGTAAAATGTGACCGTTTGACATCTGTGGTAGTTTGAACAGAATCTCTCACAGCTGCTGAGTTTACTCCATAGCTTTCAAACCTTTTTTATTTTAAGAAATTCTTGAAAAACCGTATGTTCCATGGGAACATAAAGTTATTATAGTGCCTCCGAAGGGGTTAATATAAATCAAGGAGGAAATTTATATTTAAGGAAGAATTGGAATGACGTATCTTAGAAAAGGCAGATGTTTCTGTACAGCTTGTCCTCCACCAGGCCTATCATCGTTTTTCTTTTTAGAGACAAACATGACAGGCTTGTCTTGTCTCTCTCACATGCTAGGTAGCAAATGGGGTGATATTTTTATAGAAGTGGGCAAAAATTATTTTCTCAATTTTACTGAGTAGGCACAGAAGAAAAGTACAGATAGGCTGATCGTTATTGCCTTATTTTGACAGCATTTCTCTTAAATGGGTCATTTAAATTAGTTCTTCAAGTAACAGTTTACTGGTTGTTCCATTCCTGAATATGCAGGCTAATTTGTACAGACAGGGATTAAGGAATACAGACTATTAGAGAAGATCCTTATATTTAGATCTAGTACATATGTGATAAGGAAATGCCAATTCTTCATTATAAACAAGGTTTAAAATTACTCTTTCTTAGTCCAAATGATAGCAATACCCCTAGAGCATTAGGTAGAAACAAATTATTCATTACATTGTAAATCTGTTTACCATGTCCTAGCTCTGTCCTGCTACCTAAAGAACATAAAGAAATAATATTGCTCTAGAATGTATCACTTTGTTTTCCCATGAAAGAATTCAGTTTGTTAGTACCTATATTTTTAAACTGGTGAAACTGACCCAAATATGTAATAAATACCATAGTAGCTCAGACCCGAGGAGATATTTTTCTAAAATCAGTTTTCATTAAAGTACTTTCTACTTTCGTTATTGGATATGGTATCTCCTAAAATGTAAAAAAACAAAAAACAAAAAAACCCAAACAAACAAACAGAAAAAACTGTTACTCTAATGATAAACCATCTGCTCATCATAAGTATGAGGCTTAACAAATAAGTAATACATGCTATATTTATTCAAGTGTCTATTGCTTAATTGTTAATTGTGAGCAGATTTATTGAATGCCTATTCTGTTTTCTGCAGTTTACAATACAATAACTCTTGGAGTAAGCTGAAGTTTAATTGTGCAACACATTTGTATTAGAGTACAATTTAAAGTGTTTTTCTCTATAGCCTTTTTTGACGGGGGAAGCAAAGGGTAATGTTAATTAGTACACTTTGTTCTTGTACTAGCTATGTTTCTATAAAATACGGTGCCCTGTGTATCCCAGAGATGCTAGAAAACTTTGTTCTTTGCTCCTATTTGTGGGTTCTTTTTTTGTGTTTTTTTTTTTTTTTTTCCAGAAAATGCACACAATAAAACATTCCTTGCTTGTTCCTATGTTTGTCTAATACCACTTTTGTTGTAGTCGGCCTGGACGTAGGGCAATAACAGTAGCAACCATTTATTCAGCACCCTCTGTGCTGGGTGCTTCACTCCATTATCTTACTCAATCCTGGCAACACTTGGGCAAGGCATTATTCCTCCCGTTTTGCAGATGAGAAAACCAAGAGAATTTGTGTTGTGAAGTCTGTCTGTCTGACTTGAAAGCACACGCCTTCTTCCTGCCTCTGGCCTGAATGTGCTAGCATGTCATTTGTGTTTTCTGTAAGGGAGGTGGGTATTACTGTCTCTGCTGCCTGAGGTAGCCGTCAGCATAGTGCAGGGTATTTAGGCTCTCTGACTACACAGAGCTATCTGCTGATACCAAGATGAAGCTCTGCTTCTCCTCAGCAGCTCACTTTTGTGAGTGAACACGTGTGGTTCAGACCCAGAAGAACTGATACCTCAACTAAACCAATAAGAGATCGATTTAGAAACCAGCAAGGCAGTGAATAGTATGTTTTTCAAAATAGATATGGCTTTCTTTTCTCTCGTCATCGAAATATTATCTTACTATAATAAAAAGAAAAGGAGGCCAGGCGCGGTGGCTCATGCTTGTAATCCCAGCAGTTTGGGAGGCCAAGGCGGGTGGATCACGAGGTCAGGAGTTCGAGACCAGCCTGGCCAAGATGGTGAAACCCCATCTCTACTAAAAATACAAAAAATTAGCCAGGTGTGGTTGCAGCCACCTGTAATCCCAGCTACTCAGGAGGCTGAGGCAGAAGAATCACTTGAACCCAGGAGGCAGAGGTTGCAGTGAGCTGAGATCGTGTCACTACACTCTAGCCTGGGCAATAAGAGGGAGACTCCATCTCAATAAAATAATGAAGAAGAAGAAAAGAAAAAGAACCAAAAAGTATAAAACAAGTTGTTTTTAAAATCATCTCATCCTACCACCTGGAGAAAACACCATTAAGCTTATCCTGTATATCTTTCCAATGTTTTTTTAAATGTCTCCATAGATATGTAACACATACTTAGAGATACATTGTTTTAATGGGACCATACTTGTTTTTCCACTTGATACATTATGGATAGTTTGCCCATGTCAGAAAGTAGAGCTCCGTGTTAGTATTTTTTATGACTGCGTCGATGCAGTAGATGCAGTAGACATTCGCTCTTGCCATCATCTGGACACATGTTGGGATCCCACGTCTCCCGCTGAGGTCAAGAAAGGCCCTTGTAACTTGCTTTAGCAAATGAAACGTGGGCAGAAGCTCCTTACTGCGGGTGAGAGGCTCTGATACCATGACACTTTCTTCTATGCCCCTCATGAAGCGTGTGTTGGTGAAGTGTAATGCTAAGCCATTCTACAGATCACAACTGCTCTAGGACTGCAGTGGACTTTGCATGATCGAGAAATAAGTCATTGTTTTAGCCCACTGAGGTAGGGGTGGGTGGTGTGTGTGTCAGGGATGGGAGAGTGGTTAGGGATTTGTGTGTGTCTTAACTACAGCATAATATTAGCGTGTATAGCAGTATTCCATTGTCCTACTATGTGACTAAACCGTCATGTATTTTACCAATCTCATAAAATTAGATTATATATGTTTAGATTATCATTTTAATTAAAACACTAAATATTTAAAATTTTTTTTAAATTTAAAAATATGCAAGCTCAGCATGCTTATATGTTTATCGTGCCCACTTTTCCAATTATTTTCTGAGGATAAAGTCTTAAAAAGTGGGAATTGCTAGGTCAGAATATGCATGTTATTAAGTTTTTTATTGTTATTGATATTATCCTCACACTGTTGCCAAGATTTGAATTTGTGTTTTTGGATAGGCAATAAAAAGGTATCTCTTAGTGTCTTATGGAATGGCAGTTACTTTACAGTGAAAATAATACCATTTTCCCAAGTGGAAAACTGGAAATTCTGAGGCCAAAGTCCAGCCTCCTTTTATAGTAACCCTGTACTGCAAAGCAATTATTTACTTCCCATATTCTCTAAAGAGCAGTGATTCTTTTTATTTATTTATTTATTTTTTGAGACGGAGTCTCGCTCTGTCACCCAGGCTGGAGTGCAGTGGCGTGATCTCAGCTCACTGCAAGCTCCGTGAGCAGTGATTCTTAATTGGTGTTTTATAATACCATATTTTCTTTATTTTGAAATTTTTTTTAAAAATTATACTTTAAGTTCTGGGATGCATGTGCAGAACATGCAGGCCTGTTACATAGGTATACTAATGGTGGTTTGCTGCACCCGTCAACCCATCATCTACATGAGGTATTCCTCCTAATGCTATCCCTTCCCTAGCCCCCCACTCCCCGACAGGCCCCAGTGTGTGATGTTCCCCTCCCTGTGTCCATGCGTTCTCATTGTTCAACTCCCACTTATGAGTAAGAACATGCGGTGTTTAGTTTTCTGTTCCTGTGTTAGTTTGCTGAGAATGATGGTTTCCAGCTTCATCCATGTCCCTGTAAAGGACATGAGCTCATCCTTTTTTATGGCTGCATAGTATTCCATTGTGTAAATGTCCCACATTTTCTTTATTCAGTCTACCACTGATGAGCATTTGGGTTGGTTCCAAGTCTTTGCTATTGTGCACAGTGCTGCGATAAACATATGTGTGCATGTGGCTTAATTCTTTCTAGAAAGTACATTTTATTTTTTAATTTTTGAGATGAAGTCTGGCTCTGTCACCCATGCTGGAGAGCAGTGGCATGATCTCGGCTCACTTCAACTTCTGCCTCCTGGATTTAAGCGATTCTCTTGCCTCAGCCTCCTGAGTAGCTGGGACTATAGGCACATGCCACCATGCCTGGCTAATTTTTATATTTTTAGTAGAGACAGTTTCACCATGTTGGCCAGGCTGGTCTTGAACTCCTAACCTCAAGTAATCTGCCCGTCTTGGCCTCCCAAAGTGCTGGGATTACAGGCATGAGCCACTACACCGACCTAATTTTTATCAAAAATAGATTAACATTAATGCACAGCAAAGAATGGAGGGGTGCCCCAAAATCGAGCTAATAAATTTGAAAGAACCTGGGACTCAGTCTTCTAGAGTACAGCTGTTAAACCTATGATGCTCTTAAAGGACTTTTACTTAAATCCTCCTTTGTAACAGGGATTAGTATCTCTTCCTATAATATTGAGAATAGCCAATAGCTTTGCAGACTCTACTGTGAAAATCCAACACAACTAATAAAAGTTACAAAACAATCACATGATTTTAGCATTTCAAATTTCCAAGT